CTTTAAAGCAGAATAAATGTCTTAAAAGCCGATTCTGTGCTGATCTGCCCGTGTCTCGTCTGTCTTTCAGTGGAAGAAGTATTGGTTTGTGCTGACGGATCACAGTCTGCGATACTACAAGGACTCCATCGCTGAAGAGGTGATTGATTCTGTGTTTATCGCTCTGTAATTAACAATGATTTCTGTCACTCACTGCTGTTTTCTGTGTTCAGGCGTCAGATCTGGATGGAGAGATCGACCTCAGCACATGCTATAATGTTACAGAGTATCAGGCGCAGAGGAACTACGGCTTCCAGATTTACGTAAGTGTGTCTACACAGCATTTATTTATTTACCATTACTTCCTTTTATTTACTTATTTATTTTTCTAATTTTAACATGTGCAATTACATCTATTTTAAATTAGTGCTCTTATGATTTTATTGCTATTGTGGATTTTTTTAAATTAGCAGTTGCATTTTTTATGTATTTTTTTTCTCATATTTTAATTATTTATTTTTATCTGATCTGATTTTTTATTGCATAATTTCTCTTACTGTGTTGTGCGTTTTTTATTTTAAATGAGCTCTTATATTATGATCTTTTTACAAATATGGGTTTTTAAAATTAAGACATGCATGGATTTTATATTTATTTATTTATGTATTTTTGCTGGTATTTTAATTATTTAATTTAATATTTTTTCATTTTATTGTTTATTTATTTTATTCATGCTTGTGTATTATATTTTTATTATAGTTTTGGTGCAGTTTTATTTATTATAAACAAGTGCCCCTGTTATCTTTTTACTATTATGAATTTTCTCCATGTTTTTAAATGCACTTTGTATGTGTGTCTGCGTCAGACTCAGGAGGCGGTGCACACACTCTCCGCCATGACTGCAGGAATCCGCCGTAACTGGATCCAGGCAGTGATGAAGAATGTCCGGCCAGCCACTGCTCCAGATGTAGCCAGGTGTGTGTGTGTGTGTGTGTGTGTGTGTGTGTGTGTTTCATGCTGAAAAATGCACATTGTTTGCTTTGATGCATATTGATATTCAAGATAGAAACTGTTTTAAAGTCATTTTAACATTATATCAACATTATGATGTTAATATAAGCACAAAAGCGTCTGTTTTTATCATTATAGGTCATATAAATTAAGCTCTTTGGTCAATAAAATACATTTAGATTCTTTGTTTTAGATATTTACAATCATTTTACATTGTTTTTAACATTAGGTTATTAACAAACAAGCCCAAAAGCCAATCCAAAACTAATATTGCTTAAAAGAATCAATAATATTGAGCTTAACCTGTTAGCCAGCACTCAATTTTGGGGATTTACACTTGGCTAACTTTAAATAGTAACAGTTCCTGACTCCAGTAAGCTACAAACACAAATTAGGCAAGTTCTTGTATAATGATGGTTTGTTCTGTGAAATATTGAAATAAAATATAGCTTAAAGGGGTGAATAATATTGACCTTAAAATGGGTTTAAACCAGTTAAAAACTGCTTTTATTCTAGCCCAAATAAAACACAAGATTTTCTCCAGAAGAACAAACATTATCAGACATACTGTGAACATTCTCTGAATCTGAGAAACATCGCTTGAGAAATAATTGATAGACTTTAACTGTACGTCTGAAATATTGTCTCCTGAATAACCCAGTCTGACGGATGAGCATGGGTCGTTTGAGGGTGTCTGTCGACCGGACGTGACGCAGGACTCTCCCTCCTCTGAGGCGTCTGTGGAGCGGGAAACAGGGGCCAAAAAAAGCCGTGCGCGGGAACGCAGGCGAGAGGGGCGGAGCAAAACTTTCGACTGGGCGGAGTTTCGTCCCATCGCTCAGGCATTGGCTCAGCAGAGAGCGCAGGAGGCGGAGCTTACAGAGCGCAGCAAGAGGAGAGAGGAGCGAAGGCGGAGGTATGAGAGCGTGACCGGAGCAACCTTTGATCCTGCACTGATGGAGCAAGAGGGGGGCGTGGCTCAGACTGAAGCTCCGCCCCTGTCGGCTGAATGGCAGCAGCGAGTGGAGGATGAGATCGAGCAACGCTGGCAGCAGGTGGAGAAAACACCAATCAGAGACGAGCGCAGGGTTCCGTTAGGCTCCGCCCACAGCAGAGACGCCACAGACATGGAGAAGCTGCTGGAGGGATACAAGAGAGGGGTACGACCATAAACCCATATATTATTTCACATTTTAATTCGTTGTTTTAGATTCCTTAAAAAAAATTGTTTTGTTTTAGATTCTTTGCTTTCGATTTTTTTTTTCATTCTTTTTACATAGTTTTTTAGATTCTTTGTAGATTCATTTTTATTTTGTTTCTGATTTATTTATTTTTTTGAATAATTTCTTATTGCGATTCTTTGTTTCAGATTCTTTTAAGATTGATTTTTTAATATTATTTTTTAATAAAAAATATTATTAAGTTTCTTTAAAATTATTTTAATGATTTTTTTATTCTTTTTTTTTATTTGGATTATTTATTTTCTATTCTTTTTATAAGTTCCATAAATGTGTCAATTGTTTATAGATTCTTCATTTTAGATTATTTGAAGAATCATTATTATTTTGATCGTTTGTTTCAGATTCTTTTAAAAACTTTATTCAGATTCTTCATTTTAGATTCTTTTTTTATTTCGCTTCTTTTTAATGTTTTTAGATCCTTTTTAATTTTAGATCATTTTTTATGTAGATTCTTTGTTTTAGATTAATTTTTAGATTCTTTTAAAATGTATTTAGTTAGTTAGTTCTCTAGAAGTTCTCTTGTTATAGGTTCTTTGTATTTTTCAGGAATCATTTCTTTTTTAGATTCTTTGTTTTAGATTCTTTTTTAATAGATTTTTTGTATTTGATTCTTTTTAGAATAATTTCTTAGATTCTTTGTTTTAGTTTTTTTTTAGGTTCCTTTCTAAAATGTGTTTTTTTTTGTTATAGATTTTTTAGATTATTCATTTCAGATTTCAGATTATTTTTAAAATTTTTTATTTAGATTCTTTTTTAAGTTCCTTTAAAAAAGTAAATCCATTCTTCATTGTGGATTTTTAATTTTTTTCATATTCTTCGTTGGAGATTCTTTTTAGATTAATTTTTGATTTAGATTCCTTTTAAAATAATATCTTCATCATGTTATGATTCTTTTATTTGGATTATTTGCTTTAGATTAATTTTAAAAGCATTATTTAGATTCTTCTATTGTGTATGTTGAGGTGGAGGAGCTCAAGGCTCAGCTGGAGAACTGCCATCAGCAGCTTCTGGACTCCAATCGGCACAAGCAGGATCTGGAGGGAAAACTGAAGATGGCGGTGGAGCGCGAGCAGCAGACGCGAGCCGGGTACATCTCTCCGGTAGGCCACATTTATCACATCTTCATCACGCATTCAGGGACTTTATTCTCATATGTGTGTTAATTTATGAGGACACATTGCTTCCAAGCAGCAAACACGTGCTTTGCATGTCTAGAAAACATTGCATGCAAATGAACAGATCGCTTATGCTCCTTTATTTCTTGCCTCTATTTAAATGGATAGTTCACCCAAAAATTAAGTACTAAAGACAGTAATGCCCCATCTGATTGGTCAAATAAATAGCCAATGCATAAAATAGAAGTAATTAATCTATCTAACTTATTTATTGCATGCACTATTAGCACAATAATGACAATTTGGCGACTTTTTGTGCAGCCCTAATACGAAAGTCAGTGGTGGCAGGTCTCCAGCATTCTTCAAAACATCTTCTTTTGTTTTCTAAAAGAATGAAAAGTCAAAAAGGTTAATAAATGATGACAGAGTTTTCATTTTTGGGTGAACTGTCCCTTTAAGACTGTCTTCAAGCACAGTGGCATTACAATAGATGTGGATTTGATGCGAGCTCAGTTGCATGCTTCAGCATAGATACATGAACATGAATGAATCAATGCAGCGATGGCATGAAAACAGACTCGCTCTGCCCTCCAGATACATTCATACTCAATGATGCACCTTTACATGGAGTCCAGCGATAGCTGTATATGCTTTAAGTTGGAAAAATAGTGAAAAGCAGTAAGTGTTTTCCCAAAAGCATCGAGTATCAGTTTATCTTAAGGGCTCTGGAGAAGAATTAAAATGCAGACATCAGCTACATGAACATCAGCATACAAACAAAGCCTAATAATGGCATATACATGTGCATGATCTGTGTTTATTCACATTTAACAATTCATTCTTTTCATTTTTAACCTTACTCTCCACTTCTTCCATATGTGCTATGAAGTGTGTATGATTATATGTGTGTGTGTGTGTGTGTGTGTGTGTGTGTGTTTAGAAAGTGGCTGCATTGTTTTCTGAGCTTAATCTGTAATTAAAACTCGCCTTTTATTGATTCATTTCTTTAAATAGCTACACATTTTGCTGAATTATTATTATTTTAGCAATTCAAACCAAACAAGTGGTGATTTTATCTGAAGCTGGCCATCGTTGTGCATATCAGAAGGTGATGCTGTATGTTGGATATTCATCCAGGACACTTTAAATCTCCAGCAGCTCCTGTAAAGTTTGTGTTTCTTTCATATTTGGATGGAAACGGTTTGCATAAGCAGGAACAGCAGAGGTTGATCAATAGTTATAGGTTATAGCATTGACAGACTCGTAACCTGATGGCATGAAACTGTTCTGGCATTCTTAGCTAGCACTAATATCGCGTCTCTGACCTCATGAAACAACTCTACTTTAACCTCTTAACATGCATGCACTGTCTCGATCTACTAATGTCTTGCTGTTAATTGATCCTAGCGTTCTAATGTGCATCAGAAGCTGACTTTAACCGTAATCCACTGATTAGACACAGGTAATCAGGGTTCCCACAGCTGAGAGCTTTCAGCAAAATCATGATACGCTTTATTCTAGATGAAGTCGGGGATTTTTATATAGTTTTTTTCCTAGTCGATGAGTATTCGGGGGTTTTGTTTGTCGCTTTAAATTGTAGTTTCCATTTATCTAAATGTAGTTTTGTCAATACCGTTTTTATTTGAAAGGTTTTGACCACTGATCTATATAGAATGGCTGGATCGCGCGTTGCGTTCTAAACTGACGAGAAGCAGTGAAGCCACCGCAAGTGTTGAATCCGCCATCCTACTGACAGAGCTACAGCGTCTGTGCTATGGAGATTATTCACTCCTCTTCAAAATGACCCAGTGTACAGTTACAAGTCCGACACAAAGTTCAGTAAAGGATGAGGCAAATCTATTCAGGTTTTCGTCGTTTATTTTGTCATTTATGTGCAAATTTAAGTTTTTTTCCCCTATGAAACAAGCAGTAACAGCTGAAGAAAGGATCATAAAATAATAATAATATACTGTAATATACAGTTGAAGTCAGAATTATTGACCCCCCTTTGATTTTATTTTTTTCTTTTTTAAATATTTCCCAAATGATGTTGAACAGATTGAGGAAATGTTCACAGTGTGTCTGATAATATTTGTTCTTCTGGAGAAAGTCTTATTTGTTTTATTTTGGCTAGAATAAAAACAGTTTTTAATTTTTTATGAACTATTTTAAGGTCAATATTATTAGCCCCTTTAAGTTATATTTCCTGACTGTCTCCAGAACAAACCATCTTTATACAATAACTTGCATAATTACCCTAACCTGCCTAGTTACCCTAATTACCCTAGTGAAGCCTTTACATGTCACTTTAGGCTGTATAGAAGTGTCTTGAAGAATATTGTTGTCGCGAATCCATGAGAGGGCGCTGTGCGTGTTTTTTTGCGTCTTGAACGCCGTTCGCGGTCGCGCTGTTCTCGCGTAAAAAACCGCCGGAGGCCGCTGTCGAGCGACCGTCTGTCCCACTGACCGAATGAATGACTGAACGATAGACTCGGTGGCCGGCCAATCGGCCGTCCCGGCCACCCTCCTCCTCCTTCCCTAAACCCAAGCGACGATTTACAAAAGCCGTCCAGTAAAAGAAAAGCCCTCGTCCGATTTTGACCGCGTTTTTCGGATTTCACCGCATTCTCGCCTAGTTACAAACTCGTTCGCTTTATTTTTTGGATTCTGTTTTTTGTCTTACCTGATTTCTGGAACCGCTCTTCCCCGGACTCAAACCCGATTGTCGCCGCGGCCGGCTCCTCCTCCGGGCCTCCACTCCGCCAACGTAACACGATGAGCTAAACAGACAAACTGGTTGCGGCGGGAAAGCCCTCCACACGGAGGTGAGTGTCACCCCAGCCGCCGAGCGCAAAGAGGAGCCCTGTAGTGTTCGCATACCTTCAGCCAAGTAAATCGCGGTCTCCAGAAACGTCCGCGGGGCTACGTTTTCAGAATGAGCTTGGGTTGATTAAGATGTTTTGCAGACAGGAGCCGCATACACATTAGCATATAACATAGCCATAAACCAGCTTTGAGTTTGATATCTGGCTTAAAGTGGGAACCCTGTGTAATGAAATGTGATTCTGGTGTTTGTTTGTTTTTCCTGAAATCCTCAATGGTTAACTTGTTGATTTGTAATCTAGAATGATTCACCTGTTAACCAACTGTCTGGTCCCCTTTTCCAAGCTGGAGTCCCCTTTGAGTGTTGAGACAGAGCCGCAGATGAAGAGGACTGAACTGGTTAGTTCTCAAGCTCAGAGTTTAACAAAGAAGTACCAGGAAACCAAAGAGCTCCTGCAGCTGCAAGAACTGAAAAAGCGCGACATGCAGGCACAGCTTGGCCTTTCTCTCTCACACTGGCCCGCAAAGGACCCTTCGCTTTCTGACACCCAAAAACACGAGGTCTGTCCCTCGAAGTGCACTCGGCGAACGCTCACGCTTACTCTTCAGGATAGCGAGGGAACGATTCGAGAGCTTGAGCACTTAATAAACACTGACGATCCTTTAACGTTGAGGGAGTTTATAAAGCTCGTCCAGTTGCATAGTGAACATGTTTGCGTGGTAGAATCTCCTCCAGGGATGGAGCAAAGTGAACACAGCCGCTCAGTTGGAGCGGAGTGCCAGAAACTGCTGGAAAGCTTGAAGAACCAGCAGGAGATGGAGAGCGAAGCTGTCAGGAGAAGTTTGGAAAAGGCTGGAGATTGCATTCGAGACTATGAAGCGCGTTTGCTCACTATGGAGGACATGCTAGGACGAGCTCAGCAGCAAAAAGCGGAGATTCTCCTGCAGTCCCCATCGAGAGTAGAAGAGTTCAGCGCTGATATGAGCAGCAGAGATCTGTCGCAGCAGGTGGGGATTCTGGCCAATGAAAATGTAGCGTTGAATCAACGCTATCAGGAGATCGTGAACCAACTGAGAGAAGCAGATCGAGAGATAGACAGGCTGAAGGCGGAGGTGTATAGACTGCGACACAGTAAGGAAGACGATGAAGAGTCCGCAGATAAGAGAGAGCTCTGCGAAAAATCCCACAAGCTTCAAGAAGCTCTGATTAAATTAGAGACGCTTGGTAGTAATCTGAAAGACACTGAGAAAAGATTGCAGCTAAAAGAAGCCACTCTTCGTGGACTTGGATTTCAGGTGGCGGAAAGTGAAGCTGAAGACGATCTCAAGTGTCAGTTGGAGATCCTTCAATGCAAGCTTTCTGAGAAAGAGAAGATGTGCGAAGAACTCCAGTCGCAGAATCCAAGACAAGAGGACGCGGTGAGGCTCAATCAGATGCTTGTAGAAGCTCAGGAGGAGATCGCAGGGTTGAAACGGAAGCTAGAAAGTCGAGCAGGGTTCAGTAGCGAAAGTGAGTTTATGGAAGAGGAAGGTGCGAGTGAGTTAAAGAGAAAGTCAGAGTCTCTAATGCTTGTGTTTGGTGCGTTAGTAAACGGCAGGGAGGCAGAATGCGATGCGTTTATTGTGGATGAGGATCACGCAGGATTGATGACGGAGAGAAGGATCTTATGCAGGATTGTAGACGGTCTGCAGAAAGACGAGCAATCTGTGAGGCAAGTGGTAGAGCGAATGATGGAGGATAATAACATGCTGATTCATGCAAACAAGCTCTCCGACATTCAACCAGGAGAGACGATGCATGATGAAGATGACGCAGACATCATGAAGAGTCTCTCTGAAGCGGTTCAGAGCAAAGTGGCGTTATTAAATCAGACTTCTTTAGCGAGAACGGGTGACAAACTCACTTTGAGAAGCAGATCTGACTACATACGTGAAGCAATCACAGACATAACACACATGTACCAAACGCTCAGGCTGAAGAAAGAGTTTGCACGTGCTGAAATGAGGACGCAACAGGAATTAGCAGTGACGCGCATTCATATCGAAGGAGAGCCGATCGACTCTTTGGATAAAAGCATTCAGCTGCAGGATCTGATGGCGAGACATAAGAAGGAGCTTCGAGAGCTGAAGGAGGTTTACGAGACGGATGTGGAAAAGCTTAAAAAGGAGTTGGAGAAAGCCGGAGAAACCCTGAAGATGAGATCTGAAGAGAACGTCCGAGAGATCGACTCGCTGACCGTGTGCATGGAGAACCTGGAGAAAAAGCACGAAGCCGAAAGGCGAGAATTACAGACACGCTTCAGCCTGCAAATGGAGGAGCTCTGGGAAGCTGTCGGGTTTGAGGATAAAGATTGGAGTTCGGGATCCCTCAAAGAGCAAATCCTGAAGCTGGTGCGCCGAGAGTCTGAACTGACCCAGCTAATGCATCAGAAAGATGGAGACCTGCGTCTGAGATACGAGAAAGATCTGGAAAAGCTAAAGGTCAAGGAGTTTCCGTGTGCTTTCATGTGGCAGTCTTAAACCTGACCCTTTCCTCTCCTTTCTCTCATGTACTAACCCTGCTCTGTGGTGCTTTTGGTTTAGTCTCTCTCTCTCTCTCTCTGCATGGCTGTGCATGTGCGCTTGAACACGAGGGGAAACGGCACTCTCACATTCAACATTAAAATGCTATCATGCATCTAAGATGGAGAAACAATTCATTTTTAGACTTTAAGCTTTCTTTGTCCTGATTAATAGCCGGTGCATTAATATCTGCAGATCGCCCGCTGCTTTAACTAATCAATAACCAATAATGCATGATAATAGATAAGGTATTTATAGTACACAGTAGTTAAATGTGCAATCTAATTGTGTAAGTTCAAGACAGAGATGGTTAAATTACATGTATGCATACGTTTATTTGAATAACTATTTACAGTTGAAGTCAGAATTATTAGCGCCCCTGTTTATTTTTACCCCCAGTTTCTGTGTAACGGAGAGCAGATTTCTTCAGCACATTTCTAATCATAATAGTGTGAATAACTAATCTCTAATCACTGATTTATTTTCTCTTTGTCATGATGACAGTGAATAATATTAGACTAGATATACTTCAAGACACTTCTATACAGCTTAAAGTCACATTTAAAGGCTTCACTAGGGTAATTAGGGTAACTAGGCAGGTTAGGGTAATTAGGCAAGTTATTGTATAACGATAGTTTGTTTTGTAGACTATCCAAAACAAAAATATAACTTAAAGAGGCTAATAATATTGACCTTAAAATGGTGTTTAAAAAATTAAAATCTGCTTTTATTCTAGCCCAAATAAAACAAATAAGACTTTCTCCACAAGAAAAAATATAATCAGACATACTGTGAACATTTCCTTGCATTGTTAAACATAATTTAAAAAATATTTAAAAAAGAAAAAAAATTCAAAAGGGGGCGAATAATTCTGACTTCAACTGTGTATTGCAGAATTGCATTGTTGCACCTATAGTGCAAACACTCTTTATTTACTCACAATTAGTGTTCTGTTATTTAGTTGTTGAATCAAAGCATGGATTTAAGGAATAGTGATATTTTTGTGTTATTTCATCAGTGTGATTTGGTCTTAAAGAGACAGTTCACACAAAAATAACAAATAATTCACTCATATTCAAATGTTAACCCTGATACTGTTGATTTTTTTTTTTTTTTTTATCCACTCTGGGCTGATTTTGAGTCTAAAATTTCCGTGTTTCAGCTAGTGGAATTATTTTTGGTGACAAATCTTTTTGACATATTTTGAGAAAAATGCTCAACCTCTACACTCTTGGCAAATTGACTATTCCTTTATGTTCGTGATGAAAACATCCACTGATTTAAACTGTTATAAAAATGCATCAGATTAATATGTTTTCCAATTTTTGGGGCATAAATCTGTTAATCAACCTCAGTTCTGATCAAATCTACTCAGTTGTTTACAGGACTTTAATCCCCAAATTCATAAATGATGTCACTGATTTGGTGAAAAACACACTAAATAACGTATTTTCAAAATAAAAAGTAATTGTGGGCTGGATTTCTTTGAACCTTTTTCTTTAAAGCACTTTGAATTACCATTGTGTATGAAATGTGCTTTATAAATAAACTTGCCTTGCCTTTTATCAGTCCACAATTACTTTTTATTTTGGAAATACATCATTTAGTGTGTGTTTTCCACCAAGTCAGTGACATTAGTTGTGGACTTGACAATTAAAAAGTGAAAATCCTGCAGTTTTCTTAACAATTTAGTTGTTTTGTTTACGACTGAGGCTGATTAACAGATTTATGCAGAGATAAAAAAATATTTATGTGATTAATTTTTACAGCAGTTTATTTCAGTGGATGTTTACATCCTGAACATAACAAAAGGATAGTTTGAACAGTGCACAAGGGGTTTAAACAGTAAGGAAGATATTCTGATGAACTGATATTGAGATCTTTACTACACTCTCAGAAATAAAGGTAGGCAAGCTGTCACTGGGGTGGTGCCTTTTAAAAAGGTACAAATTTGTATTTACAAGGTCCATATTAATACCCTAAGGGTACCTAAAAAGTACTAATATGTTTCTCTTAAAATCTTTAGGTATATTTTGAGGTAACAATGTGCACCCATTAAGTACAAATGCGAACCTTTTTGAGGTACCACCTAAGTGACAGCTTGCTTACCTTTCTTTCTGAGAGTGTAGGAACTGAAATACCATGAAAGTCAATGGCTGTTATTTTTACAGCATTCTTCATTATTAAATCTTCCCTTGTGTTCAAATGGAGGAAATAATAGCAGGATTTTACAAGTTGATCTGTCTCTTTAAAAACAGTCACTCAAATCAGTTCCTGACTAGATGTGCAATTTGGAAAAGGTAATTAGACAAGATAAAATGCTCAAAACAATTGACAAATAGGACTTGCATTATTAAAGGGGTGTCCGTTTGTATTTTGCATCCTTAGTGAAGACCTATTTCTCTTTATTAGTATTATGATGTGCAGAACATAACGAGTGAAAACAGTGAAAGTTTAGCTTTTGTTTGTGCTTTTAGTTGCAGAAATAATTTCTCATGCATATATTATTCTGTTATCTAATTAAGCATTTATAATTAAAGTGCATTTTTAGATATTATCAGTACAGTTTACTCGTGTGGAGCTGTTAGTGACTGTAAGGTTTTAAAAGGTTAAACTGCACACACCGTTAGAGTAATTAGTTGATTCTATACAGTATAATGAGCTGTTGGCTTTACATAGATTGATCATTAATAATGCATGAAAATGGAAAATCAGTAAAGTATGTTTGAAGTCAGAGTAGATTTATACTAAATGATGAGTGTTTTGGTCTGGATGTGAGCTGATGAATGTGGGCTTCATCTGTGCTAGTTGTTTGGCGTCAGCTTGGTTTTTAAAGGGTTAGTTCGTTCATTTACTCTCCCTCAGGCCATCGAGGATGTACTTTTATTTTGAGGTTTTTAGCTGAGTTTGTGATGGTTATTCTTATAATGGCAGTCAACGATCACCTGTTTTGGGGATAAAATAAAAACAAATTCCAAATCAATCCTCATGGCTCCTGATGATACACTGAGCCCTTATGAAGCAAAACCATCAGTCTGTACAAGAAGTGGAACATTATGTACAATATTATTAGTGCTAAATATGCATCATTAAGAGCCGCATGCACTGGCTTTGGATTTAAAGCAAATATTATTGTAAATAATGTTCATTTTCCTACACAGATTGCTGGTTTTGTTTCATGAGAGCTCAGTGTGTCTTCAGAGTTTGACATGCTTGCATGTGTTTATTTTTAATCATTTTCTAAATCTTTAGCCATTTTTTGGACTTGAGTTGTTTTGCATTGCTAGGCAGGGAAATTAAAGTTTCAACATGCGTGTGTGTGTGTGTGTGTGTATATATATATATACACAAAAAAGTGAATATAATGCTTGCAAAATTTAGTTAGACATTTAAGCCACTGACGTTAGAATTTTATAAAAAAATAAACGCCGGAGCTTTTCTGAAGTAATGCGAATATAAATATAAACGCAGAACTGAGAGATTACAGCTCAGAGAATAAAAAATAAATTACAATTAAAGGCTTTTCAAAATAAAGAGTCCTGCTGTATTTTGCGCTGACTTAAAAATAAGAACAAAATACTGACATTAATGGAAAATCAGGTATAAATTCAGAGAAGCAGAGCAATTGCAAACATGTATATGCTATTCTTATTCAGATATTGTGCATATTGACTCAATTTTTCAACTGAAGAAGCTTTACTGCACATGCATTAGAAATAATGACGTTTAAATGTATGCCAGTTTCTGATATCCATCATAAATATGACGCCATAACGTTGTGTTTTGATGCAGCTTTTTTTTTTTTTTTTTTTAAATTAAAATGTCCTTTTTGACTCGGATATAAAGAATTAAGAGTTCAATTTCAATTGTCTATGCATTGAGATTTATGCGCATTATTAAAAAGTCAAGTTACTTTTTAGATCAAATTATTTAAATGCAATAAATACTCATAAGCCATTTCATATTATAATGAATCATATTAGAATTTTTGTATTGTCAAATGCACACCAGAAATCGTGTTAAAAGTTTTAAACCCTCAGTCACAGTGTGTATAGTGTCTGAAGTGTCCCGGGTCTCATTTATAGATGTGGCATATGCACAAAACTGCATGAAGACGTGACTGTTTGTTCTATGCAAACATTGTTCTCTATAAGAGTTGATGAGAGGATGTGCGCATCTGTCATTAAACTAAAGTGAGCTTAAATATTCACTTAATTGTACCTCTTTAAATCATCATATGAGTGCAGGCCCAGTGGTGGAATGATTTTGAGAGTAAAGCAACAGTTTTACACGTCAGAGTTACAATAATAATAGCTTATTAATTTAAGGTTTACAATGCAAAGCCATTTAGATCCACTTGTTTGCAAGTCTGCCATAATATATCAACTGAAAGACAGATATTAATAGCATATTAATGCATAAATCGTAAACATGAAAGTTACAACGTGCAGATGAATTCTTCACAGCAATAACGCCCGATTTACACGGGCTTTAGCGTCAATGCTTGACTGAGGGAGGGTCTGAAATTGGGGCTGATGTGATTGTCATAGCAAAGTCAGCCAATGAAATTCCGTAATCGGCTACTGTCTGAGCAGGGTTATTTGCATAAAGCGATCTGATTGGCTGACGCTTCCAATGGTGCTTGAAAAGTTGAGAAATCCCCAACCAGAAGACCTCCAAGTGGGAGGGGTTACACTGCAAGTAGGTTGGGTGACCTCCAAGTGGGAGGGACTTGCGCCACAAGTAGGTTGGGTTTAGGAAGTGCAGGTGGAGTAGACGTAAATAAAACCCATCAGGTCACTGTGAGGTTGAGTTTAGGGTTGGTGTAGACGTAAATAAAACACATTATTGGACTCTGTTATGTACAAGACATTACATAAATAAAATCTCCAGGTTTGTACAGCCCACTTGGAGCTGGCTCCGACCTCCATTTATACCCTTCTCACTGTAGTGGCGCTGACGGATCCACAGTTCAGTTCGGCAACGCTTGGCATCACCCATTCAAAGTGAAGCGTTGAAACTGGCTCTCAGTGTGAATGCGGTGTAAGACTCGGTTATGACCAATAATTATGTCTATCTGCCCATTTTAACCTGAAACCATGCTAATTCTGTGTTTTTGCACACCTAATTCACACGCATTTACAAAAGAAAATAAATAGATAATAGATAAATCAAGATAATAATAAATAAATGAAAATGTGTTCAGGCTTATGTTCACTTGTAGGAACATTTCCATGCACGTTTACTACATTGTCTAAATGAGACTCCTGGTGTTTTGTAGCCACTGTATAGACCCAGTGTTTCCGCCTCCGTGTCCCTCATGTGGCTGTAGATTATTCATGTCAAGTGTCCTGTGTGTGTGTGTGTGTGAGTGTGTGTGTGTGTGTGTGTGTGTGTGTGTGTGTGTGTGTGTGTGTGTGTGTGTGTGTGTACAGTCTGAATGATTCGCCGTTCTGTGATTTTTCTCAAGTATTTCCCTCATGATGTTTCTCAGATTCAGCAGTTGTTCTCAGTGTCTCCTCTAATATTTGTAATAATCTTCTCTTGGTTAAATAAGAACTTGAGGAATAAATATACAGGGGAGCGAATAATTCAGACTTGAACTTTATATATCTGTGTGTGTGTGTGTGGCGGTCACTGATTTCTTCATGTTTCTCCGCAGGCCACATGTGAGCGAGGTTTCGCCGCTATGGAGGAGTCGCACCAGAAGGTGATCGAGGAGCTGCAGAAGAAACACCAGAGAGAGCTGGAGAAGCTGCAGGAGGAGAAGGAGAGACTGCTGGAGGAGGAGACGGCTGCTACCATCGCCGGTCAGTGTACACACACATTAGTAATCACTAGGGAAGGCCTCTTTAGGGCAGGGCTATATGTAAATTAGAGGGGGACATTCAGCATATCAGCCATTCAGAGTGGAGTTATCAGTCATTTAGGGCGGGATTATCAAAGGGTGGGGCTCTCAGTCATTTAGGGTGGGACTGTCAGTCATTTAGGGTAGAGTTATTAGTCTTAGGGCGGGACTATCAATCATTTAGGGCGGGGTTATCAAAGGGTGGGACTGTCAGTCATTTAGGGCGGGACAATCACACATTCAGAGCAGAGTTATCAGTCATTTAGGGTGGGGCTATCAGTCATTTAGGGTGGGACTATCAGTCATTCAGAGCGGAGTTGTCAGTCATTTAGGGCGGGATTATCAAAGGGTGGGGCTCTCAGTCATTTAGGGCGGGACTATACGTCATTTAGGGTGGAGTTATAAGTATTTTAGGGCGGGC